GGTGGGGCGGGGTGGTGGCGTTGGTGGTGGGGGTGGTAGCGTGAGCATGAGAGAAAGACGGCGAGGGAGGCAGGGCCAGGAGGTGCAATGAGCAACCACAGCAGGGCAGCAGCTACTAGGAGAGACGAACCAGGGGCAGGCCCGCAGCCTGGCCACCGTAAGCCGTGAGAGCCAGCCGCGCCCTCTGCCCTGTTCCCGCCCACCCACCTCATCCTCGCTGCTGCTGTCGCTGTCGTCTGCGTCATCCTCGTCGTCTGCGTCCGCGGCCTTGGGCACCAGCGTGCGCCCGCCGCCGCCGCCGCCGTCTGGCGCCCTCTCTAGTAGCCGCAGATCCTCCTCGCGCTCCTCTGCAACGGGACGGCGGCAGGCAGCGGCGGCACCCAGGGATGAGGCGCAGCGGCGCCGGAGCAGGCAGGCTGCAGGATGCGCTGCAGGCGGCGGCGGGCTCCGCAACAAGACACAGCCTGCCTGCCCCGCAAGTGGGCACATGCATCGCAACGGGCAGCGGCCTGAACGGACGGCCCAGGCAGATCCCCCGGCGGCGGCGCCCCACCCTCAAAGTTGGCGCTCTTGGTTTTGAGGTAGTGCTTGCGCTCCTTCTCCTCCAGCTTGCTGCGCAGGTCGCCCTGCAGCAGCTCTTCGCTCGTGTTCTGCCCCGGCTGGCGGAACTTGAGCGTCGTCTGGCCCGGCAGGTCCTTGACAGACTGCATGCGGCTGGGCGCGTAGATACGCATGCCGCCCTGCTCCTCATGTCCCTGCAAGGAGAGAGGAGGATGGGACAACAGTCGGGGCCAGGGGAGGGAGACGCTCGAGGCGGCCGACCGTGCCGGCAGGAGCGGGAGCGGCAGCAAGGGAGCTCGGCCAGGACGCCGGCCTCCGCGCTCTCCGCAACCCCGCGTGGCCCCGCTTTTGGTCGGAGCGCCCAGCTGGCTGCAAGGGAGCTGCCGCAGGCAGACAGAGGATGGCTCCCCAGCAGCAGAGGCGACTTCCGGCGCCGCTGCGCTGCGCCAGAGTTGCAAGAAGGTGCCTCAGCGGTGGAGCAGCATCACTTGCCTTGGCGGGGGCCCATGTGGGCCTGTGCGCCGTCGTCATCTCGCAGAGCTTGCCCTGGGTGCGTTCCCGGCCTGTGAAGACGCCTAAAAGCGGCTGGACACACGCTCGGCGCTTGCTAAGTCCCCGCTAGACGGCAAGCCTCAGGGCAATCGGCGTCTCTGTCTGGCTGGGAGGCCGGCGCGTCAGGTGGGAACTGTGACTTAAGACACAGGATGGTGGCTGCTGCCGAAGCGCCAAATGAGACGGCCAAACCCCACCACAGCACTACTCCCGTACCTCAGTCTCCTCCCTGCATATTCCACGCGCCGCAAACCCTGACCCTGCATTCACCTCGCTGATCAGCAGCGCTGCTGGCGCCCCCCAGCTCTTCCCTCGCCTCCACGAGCCATGGCGGAGCAGCATTCCGGCCTGGCCTTTGTGCGAGCGCTCTACCAGTGCAGGGAGCTGGGCGCGGCGTTGACACGCTTTTCATCACCTGGCAGCCTGTATGACGTCAAGAGAGCGCTGGCATCAGCAGGTGTGTTGCGGATGTTGGGCATCGCCATTTAACACTGCCCTACCATTGGCCTTCTAGCCCCTCCCGCCTGCCACTCGATACACCCAGCGCATAACCATCACATGCAATGGCAAAGACGCAGCTGGGACGGGCCCCGCGAGCTGCAGGCCCCGCCGGCGCTGCTGCGTCGCTTGCCGGCCGACGCCCACCACCCGCTGCCACCACCCCCCAACCCCAGCTCCCTCTCGCACTGCCTGCAGGCGCCGCCAGCAGTGCCTCACATGAGGAGGCCGTCAGCAGCGGTGCGGCGCTGGTGGCAAAGCTGGTGCTCAAGGTGAGGCGGCCGCTCGCCCCCCGTGCTAGCAACCGCCGTGTGGCTGGGAGGCTGCCGCCCTCTGGCAGCCTTGTCAGCCCTTGCACCGGACCCAGCCTCGTGTGTTTCACACACCCTGAGGCCCAGGAGCTTGGAAGGTCCTGGCGCTGCCCCACAGGCATGCCAGCGGCCACCGCCCTGTGACCGGCCCCGCCACCTCGCCACCCCGCCGCCGCCCGCCACCCCGCGTGCAGGAGCTGGATGTGCCTGAGCACCGGTTCACGTGCGAGGCCACAGAGGAGGGGCTGGAGGTGGTGCAGCACCTGCAGCGCGCGGTGTTTGGGGAGGGCAGCATGCGGCAGGGCTTTGTGCAGTGCGTCTACCTTGCCACGCTAGCGCAGGTGCGGCGCAGCGGGCTGGCAGGGCTGGCAGGGCACCAGGGCGGCCTCGCTCCCCAGCTGCCGCACGCCGGCCTGGCCGCCGCATGCACCTTGAGCTGTGCAGGCTGCTGCCACCTGCTGCTGCGCATGGCGGCCTCCGCGCTTTGCCCGCAGCTGGCGTCCCCTCTCCGGCTCCCACTCCCTCCCGGCCTTCGCCGCTTTGTGTGTGCAGGCCGTCCAGGCTCTGCAGCTGGTGACGGCGGCGCTGCTGGACCTGGTGGCCCCCCACAACTGCCTCAGCCTCCTCAGCCTGGCCTCCGGCTGCGGCTGCGGGGCGCTGCGCCGCAAGGCGCGCGCCCTGGCGCTGCGCGCCTTCCCGGCCGCCTGCCAGCGGGACCCCAACGGCCTGCTGGCGATGGAGGAGGAGACGCTGATGCGCCTGCTGTGCAGCGACGCGTTGAGGGTGCGCCGGGGGCTGCGCCGGGATGCGCCGGGCCGTGCTGCGTCGAGGGATCGGGGCACTTGGGGCCGGCGGGGCGCCCAGCTTGCCCAGCTGCGTGCGCGCGTTCAAGCGGGGGCCCGACAGCGGCCACCAGCCCTCCTTGGTTGCTCAGCACGCGGTGCTGTGTGTCGCATGCCGTGCGCACCCCTTCCCCCACCCCTGGCCCGCGCCGCCGCCCCCGCCCTGTGCCGCGCAGGTGGGCAGCGAGCTGGATGTGTTCCACGCGCTGGTGGCCTGGACAGAGTGCGAGGCAGAGGCGCGGCGGCCGCGCTTTGCGGCGCACCTGGCGGCCTGCGTGCGCCTGGGAGGCATCTCCATGGATGAGCTGTACACCATGGACGACCACCCGCTGGTGAGCAGGCGCTGCGGGCTGGGCTGGCGCTGCGACTGGGCTGGGCTGGGCTGGGACGCTTGCTGACAGCGGCAGGGCAGCTGCCGCTGGGCGTGGCGGGCGGGCCGGCGCCGCAGCTCGACACCCTACGGCTGCGCCCGCAGCTGGAGACAGCATGCCTGGCGCGTGCGCCGCCCCTCGGCCCCGCCACCCTCAACGGCCCCGTGTGCTGCTCCCACGCAGCAACTGTTCGCACACCCGCTGATCGTGCGTGTGCCTCCCCGCCTGCCCCGCCCCGCGCCCATGCAGGTGGCTGCTGACCGGCTGGCCAACATGCTGATGGCTCAGGTGTACCTGCACATGGCGATGGGCGTACCGCTGGACAGCCCCCTGGGCCTGCGCACATCAGCACGCCGCCGCCACTGCCAGCGCAGCGGCAGCGACGGCATTGCTGGTGCCGCCGGCGGGGCCCAGGAGCCGGCGGCTGCCGGAGAGGCGGCCGGGGAGCGGGCGCCAGCAGCGGCGGCGTGCGGGCTTGCGGAGCACGCGGGCCGGCACGGCTCGGCGTTTGAGGCGGCCGTGTGCGGCTTCTCGCGCCGCCGGCAGCAGGCGGCGGCGGCAGAGGCAGGCGCAGGGGCAGGGGAGGGCGTGCGGAGGACGTCGGCGGACGCCTGCGGCACCGGCCTGGCGGCTGAGGGTGCAGGCACAGCCGCGCCTGGCTGCGGCGCGCCCAGCTCCCCAGCAGCCCTCACCCAGGCGCCCACCCCCACCGTTGCGGCCCAACCGGCCGCTGCCGGCGCCGCGGCGCCGGTGCAGACGCTGTCCCGCGTGCGCCACGTTGGCGTGCCGCAGCGCGCCCCCAGCCGCCGCACCCTGTTTGCGCCGGCGCCAGCCTGCGGCGAGCAGGAGCCGGGCAGCAAGGCGGCCCCGGCAGCTGCGGAGGCGGCGGCCGCTGGCGTCAGCGCAGCCGCCGGTACCGCCGGTACCGGTGACGTCGTGCTGGGCAGCGTGGGCCTGGAGATGTGCATGTCCCCCAGCCGGTCCAGCCTGCAGGCCCTGGTGCAGCAGGCGGCGGCAGCCGCGGCCGCCGCCGCTGCACAGCCGGAGGTGGGCGCCTGGGAGAGCCGCAAGCGCCTTCGGTTCGAGTGAGGTGGACGGCCGCCGCTCGGTGCCACCATTCCCGCCACCCCCCAAAACCCAACTCAGCAGTACCGCGTGCCGCCAGGCGGCAAGCTTCAGCGCCTCGCTGGCCTGCTCCTGCCCGCCCTGCCGCCGGCAGAATAATCTCCTTCTTTTGAATACTTTTGGGCATTCCTTCACGGTTCCTTCTCTCTTTCTTTTCCACCTTTGCTGCTGCCACCGGGCCGGCGGAGCGCCCGCCTCACCTCGCACTCATCCAGTTCCCTACCCTACTCTCTTCCTCCCTTGTTTGCTTTCCCGTCATTGGGGTTACGCACCTGTTCAATAAGCCGCACACCACCACTTCCACACCACTCTCCGGGGCTGCATTTTGGCCATACATTTTTGCACATATCCTTGCACACAACGTGTCTGTGACTCCCTTGCCGTTGCCAACTGACCGACCGACGCTCCTCCCCTGCTTCTAACCTCTTAAGTATTTTGCGCGGGACCCTCCACTTGAGAACCAATCCTCTCCCCTTTGTACGTACATGCATTGGGCATGCATACATGGGCTGCACACTAGGGTTTTTTCTTCTTCCTGCTGTATGTATTGGGTAGCAGGCTGGCCGTGGCTTCTGGATTGCTCATTACCGCAATGTCCCCACGGCCGCCGCCTGCCTGGATCTGTCGCCCCACCTCCCCTTTTCCAACCACACACCACCCCTGACCGACGGACGTGTACATATCTGCACTCACCGACCACCCGCACCACCACGAGCGGTCCCCTCGCGACCTTTTGACCTGACGTTGACCTTTGACCCTCCACTCCTTCCAGCTTTGACTCCCACGCCTCCCGGCCCGACGCCTCCTTTGCGCTGATTCTTCCCCCTACCTACCTCCACCCTGCACCCTTTGATTGCTAGTGTGCCAAGCGCTGCCAGGGGTATGACCCAGCTGAGCACTTAGTGCAGTAGCTTACACGCATAATGTACACTACCATGGGGTGCGGGGCTGCCGCGCCGCACCGGACGTGTAAACGAATCAAATGCTGATAGTCGGTGGCAGCAGAGCGGTACTGGGGACCGGAGGCTGTGGCCCTATGAAATTGGCAGCGCATGGAGCGGGACAGGCGGGCAGGGAACAGGGGAGGCCGGGCCGGCGGCTGCCTGCCAGCTGGCGGCGGCGGCGGGCCGGCGCAACCAGCAAGGGGGACGGGACAACAAACAACATGCAGGGCTGCGTGGTACAGGATGTTGGTGTGCGCAGCGTTGCGGGGGTGAATTCCAGGTTCGTTTAGGCACTAGGGCGAGAGAGGGGAGGCGGGCCAGTGGCGGGCGGGTGGGTTGGGCGGGATGCGCATGCGTTGGGGGCAGCGGCCAGCCGCTGACAGACAGAGGCCAGCCAAGGAAGGGCTCGGCGCGATCGGCAAAGCCAAGGGTTTCCAGTCAGTACGGTGCGTGTGCGGTGGGTGGGTGGGGCACTAGGCCCTCACAGCAGCCGGAGGCCGGCCGCCGGCTGCCTGGCGCGCGGGCCCGCGGCAGCCAGCCGCCGCTGCAGCCCCGCGCCGCGCCCCTGCTGCCGCAGCGGCAGCCGCCGGCCGCACAGCGAGGCTCCCGCCGCCGCGGCGGGCGCCCGGCCGCCGCCTGCCGCCCGCACCGGGCCGCCATTGAACTGGCCGGCGTAAAACTCGCCTGGCGCCGTGGCGGCGCCCTCCCCGCTGCCGTTGAAGGCGCCATAGCCGCCGCCGTTGGCGCCGCTGGCGCTGTTGGTACCATAGGCGCCGCTGCCGCCGGCGCCCGCCGCCGCGGCAGCGCCGTTGGCGCCGCTGGCGCCGCTGGCGGCGGCGCCGCTGCTCAGCAGTGCCTGCAGCTTGGGCTGCAGGTCTGACAGGTTGAAGTCATGAGGGATGGAGATGAAGCCTGCAGGGGGGAGGAGGCGGCGGCAGGAGGGGAGAGGGGCAGGGGCAGGAGGGGGCAGGGAGTGTTGAGGGGCAGCCCAGGGCGGGATGGGTGGCAGCGGGGGGCAGCAGTGTCCCCAGCCCTTCCCCAGCGTGACACCCGGCCAAGCGCACCGCCCGCCGTCTGCGCGCGCACCCGAAGCCCGCCCCAGCTAAAGGCCACCAGCACCACACCACACAGCACAAAACGACGCCCACCCGAGTCCCAGAGCTCGTAGCAGTCGTCGATTGCCAGGCTGGCGCCCGACAGGTCCACGCCCGCCTGGCGGATGGCGGGCGCGCAGTCCAGCAGGCGCCGCGCCGCGCTCAGAACCTTGTCCTGCGGGCAAGGCGGCAGGGGCGGGGGCGGGGGCAGCCAGGGCGCGTGCAGCGTCAGGCAACGAGGGGGGAGGAGGGCGAGGCAGGCGCTGCCGCGGCAGCCGCGACACAGCGGATGACGGCCAGCCGAGGCAGCGCAGGGGCAGCCAGCCGGGCAGCCAGCCGGGCAGCCAGCCGGGCAGCCAGCCAGCCCCGGACCAAGCAGCAAGCCGGCCCCTGCCAACCGAACCAGCCCCGCCCCGCCCCGCGTGCCTGGTTGTAGGAGGAGCAGACGCGGATGACGTGCTTGGCGCCCAGCGCCTCCCTGACCGCCGCCAGGAGCGCCTCCTCCTCCTCCCGGCTCCCCGCCACCTGCGCCGCCGTCTCGTTGGCGCTGAGGCCCGCAGAGGAGCAGAGGAAGTCGAGGAGGTGGGAGGGGGGGCAGTCGCACCGCACCTGCGGGGGGGCAAGACACGCAGCGCGCAGGCGGCGGCGGTGGGAGGGCGGCCGCAGCCGCGTTGCCAGCCCCAGCCGGCGATGGGGTAGCCGGCGCGTTGCTGCCATCGGTGCCCCTCGCTGCCGTGCTGGCCTGTGCCACGCGCCACCCCACCACCAGCCTGTTGCCGCTGCGCCCGCTCATCTCCCACCCCAGCCCGAGCGCCCCATCCTGCGCCTCCTGCCCCCCGGCCATCCC